GAGAGACAAAAAGCACTTATAAATATTAAGATGAAACAAAGTTTCACCATGATATGGTCTATGCAGAAATTTCTCTAAAATATAGCAAGCTTTTAAGGAAGCTACAGAATAGCATGAAAGAGAATCTTCTGTTCTTGAGGTGGGAGTGTGTTTCTCCCGGTGTGCAGGGTGTGCTCCATGGACCAGTGGAATATGAAGCGTGTCCCAGAAAGCTGCTTGGCCTAGGAGCCGTGGCTATGAAGTCTTACTGGAGTCAGTGGTGTTAGCAGTTTGCTGTCGCTAAATTACCTTGTGGACCTGGGAGGTCAGCAAGGTCCCAGGACCCAATGAAGCTAGGAGTACAGACAGTCAGAAAGAAAGGGTGCGAAGGCAGGAGGATGGAGGGAAGGGGTGGGGGCTCAGGAGGCCGACGCAGATGCCACTGCCAGTCACACAGCAAGCTAGGAAGTCTTTCCAAAAATGATAGAAAAAGAACAGGATTTGGTTAGAATTTCAACAGCAACAAAATAAAATGTAGAAATCACTGATACCCAAGCTATAGAGACTCTGGAAGGAGGTGCCTGAGAAGGAACACAACGGGTCCAGTAGAAAGTCCTCACATCATGAACGCCAGTAATCTCAGAGTTAGAGAGGTGACTAAGGCGGATGTGGGTCAAAGAGTCAGAGGTGGCTGTTGGAGAACAGGATTTTAGCAACAGGGAGACCAAAGGAAACGACTGCTATGAGAAGAGGTTATTCATCGGAAACCAGGACTGTCAGTCCTGCCTTAGATCCAAAGGTCTCAAAAATTCCAGGATCTGTTTTTGATGAGCCACTCTGAGGATCTGTGGGCCTTCAGTTTGGCCCAGAAGCCATTGTCCTGAGGCCCAGGAGGGCTTGAGAGGAGCTGTCCTCGTCTTCTGGGTTGGTGGGTCCTGGATTGTTCCTGGACTCAGCATTTTCTTTCTTTCTTTTTTCTTTTCTTCATTTTTCATGTATTTGGTCCAGGGTTTCTATGCAGTTCAGATTCATAAAGATCCTCCTGTTTTCAGCCTCCCCAGAGCTGAGATTACAAGCATGTGACACTATGCCCAAATTTGGCTGTGACTCAGCACACCCCAGGGATGAGGCCGGTGCGGTGTTATATACTGGGATCAAACCCCAGTAGCTGTGTTTGCCAAAGCAGGTGCTTAGTCTGCTGATCTATTTTGCCAGCCCTGGACCCAGCTCTTCTGATGGCTTCATGGGTGTGAAGGGTAGGGCAGCAGGGCTGCCAAGCAGCTTCCCCTGGAGAAGGTGTGGGTCTCATTTTCCTGTCCTCTCATGTGCTGCCAGCTCTGGAGGAAGTTGACCCATGACTGGGCTTCCCGACAGTTTCTACATTTCTTCCTTCCTGATTCAAGATGAACTATCTTGTGTACATCTGGTTCTCCATGTGACAAGATGCCCCACTCTTGACTGTTGAGTGACCCTAGCCTTGGTACTGGGTGTGCTGTGACCTCCTTGACCTACACAGATGGAGAGGAGTTCAGGAGCCCTTCATGCCTTTGTAGCTGCTCAAATGCAAACCTGCTTGCCTAGCTCATGTGGAAACTGGCTACATAACTACCATGATGCCAGTGGAAGTCCCTTCGTTGCACGGAAAAGAGCACTCGCATGGAAATCTGGCGCTCCGAGCTCGGGGACTCAGCCTGTTACAGCTCCGACACTTTGGTTTTCTAAGAGCTGTTCCAGGCCTTAACAACCTGGATTCTGGAGTCCTCTGATTTTTCCACACTTGCCTTTGACAATGGGGACATGGTAGGCACAGTAACCCTTTGTTCCTGCCCAGGGCTTTACGAACAGCACTTCATTGCTTTCTGTTCGCATACATTGGTGCCCTCAATCAGCAGGCAAATCTGCAAAGTAGGCGTTATTACTTAGACAGGATGTTAAAATGGGACGTTTTCTACCTCAGGTTTTGAAGATTGAGAACAAAACAGTAGAAGACATCACCCAGTGGGCCCAAGCCACACACATGTGCAGGGCTCAAAAGGGGTAATTGAGAAATGGTCCCAGCAACTTAACCCGTCACCACATCCATCATCACAACGAGTGTTGGGAAAGTGGGGTTTTGATACTAGGCTGGGGTGAAAGCCCCCTCATCAGAGAAACACTGAGCCAGCTCTGCCTGAGGTTTGGCCCCGGGTGGGTAAAATAGGCATGGGAGCCCCTATACTCACTCATTTGTGTTCTGTGGCTGCTCTAAGGAAAGACCACAAATCTATGGGCCGGGAGGAGCTGCCCTGCCTCCCTGGTTGTGGGGTGATAAAGTGTGCTGTCCTACAGTCCTGGGAGGGAGAACATGCAGCCTGAACCTCAAACAGACTGAAGTGGAGGTTTCAGGGAGTGGTTTTCCCTCTGGTGCTGCAAAGGGAGAATCTACGCTCTGAACTTCGCTGGGTTGCAGTGGCTGCACTTCCTCCAGCAACGCTGGGCCATGCGCTTGGCAAGCTGTCCTCTCTCTGGTCCTCTTTGTCTCCTCCTTTCTACACTCTTAAAATTTCTTGTCACTGTTTTGGATCTGCCTGGGTAATTCCTGGTAGCTGTAGAGCGGATGATTCCCCATTGGCATGGAGCCTTGGTTCAGGTCTTCATGGGTTTGGGGTATTAGGACAGGTTTACCTTTGGGGGCACTGCTTACCCTACCACTATTGAGGAGTAAAACAAAACTGCTTCCATCTTAAGCCTTTGTAAATATTCCTCACTTTCTTGGTAAATTGAGTCCAGGTAAGAAAATGAAATCCACAGAGAGCAGTGTCTATTCTGCTTTGTTTTGTTTTTTTAACAAAAATACTTTTTATTTACTTGATAGATTGATGGATTGATTGACTGATACAGGGTCTCTCTATGCCATCTGGACTTGTAGTGATCCTCCTGTCTCAGCCTCCCCAGAGCTGGGATTACAGATGCGCACCACCATGCCTGGTTCCAGGGCAGCATGGCACTTAGTACTGTGGGTCGAACTCAGTTCGTTGCAATTTCCAGGCAGGCACTTGTGCCACTGAGCTGTCTCCCCAGCCCGTGGAGCCTATCACTGACTGTGTATTCACGCTCAGGCATGGGCCTCAGCCCCCAGAGATTCTAGTCCTACAGCTGGGGCATGCATGAGTGTTCTGAGAATGTTCCCCGCTGAGTCCAGCCCATAGCGAAGACCATTGTCTGACTTTGCACACTGCTGAGACAAAATATTCAACACTAAAAGATAAAGGAGGAGAGGTTGATTTAGTTCAGGTTGTAGAGGTTTCAGTTTATAGTTGGCTGGCTCCAAGGTAGGGTGCCGTGGCAGAGGGGTGTGGCAGAGGAGGAACAGTTCATGGTGGGCAGAAGGCAGCAAAGCAGAGGAGCAGCAAGTGGCAATTCTCTTCCTTGAGCCCCCCTGGGGGGCAGTAGCACTCAGCCCCAGAGTGGTGCACCCGTAGTCCTACCCAGAACCTTGCCAAACCCATCAGTGGACTAATCCCGTAATCACACAGCCCTGACCCAGCGTCACCACTGCAGGTCCAGCCACCTCTGAAGCCCCCACTTGTGACTGCATGAGGCTCTGGGAGACATCTAGACCCAAGCCGCGACACCAGGGAACCACTGCACTCAAAAGAAGTTCTCCAAGTCAGCCGACAGGTGGCCAAAACTGCATGTGCCTCACTTCAGCATCCCATGACACGCTGAGGAGGCGGCGTCTCCTGCTCTTTCCTGGAGGGAACGTCGCCTTGACCTGGAGACCCGTTCTGCTGCCTCCTGGCACGTACCTCAGTGCACTGTGAGCCTTTCTGGGCTTCATCCAATCTGCACACCAGCCTTGCGTTTGTCTGGACTCAAGTGAGATTATGGGTAAGAGCACTTTTATAATGCGTCATGTAAGTGACAGAGACTGCTGACTAATTCCATCTACTTATTTTTTGGAGACAGAGACGCAGAGCTGGGAAGACAGAGACAGACAGACAGATAGAGAAACAGAGACAGAGGGACAGAGACACAGAGGAAGTGGGGTAAGTTTTGTATTATTATATACATGACATTGCTGTATGCATATGTTATTTTATTCAGATTTCTCTATATATATTATCCTGTGTTTTCTTACTTTATGATTACTTTGGTGAGAGGAATACTTTGACTTAAGGAATATTGTATAACGTCTAAAAGCCTAATTATCGTGTTTTCCATGTCTTTTCAATTTTATTATAGATAGTAGCATATTTTTCACACCCATGGTTGTGTATCTACTGAAATTCTGAGACTATCAAGATGATTTAAAATTACTTCTTCCACTGTTGCCTTATTTTGAACTGGCTTTTTCTTTGCATTATCAATGATTATTCATTGTACAGACTGGTGGCTCTCTCAGTGCCTTTCCATAAGCACATATGTCTTGCTTTGACCCGCCTGCCCTTCCTGCCGTCTCCTCTCATCCCTCCAGAGAGAGCTGATGAAGGTTTGCTCTCACAAGTGTGTCCCTCAGAAATGAGGAGGAGGAAATCTTTCCAGGAACCCAAACTGTCCTAAAGCTGCTGTGGTAACTTTGCTCCCCTGTGCCTGGCCCTGTCACCTGCAGGCAATGCCATCAAGCTCCTTGCCACAGGCCTGTGGATGCATCCCTTTACTGTCCCCACCTTTGTGGTCTTGGTTCCAAGTTCGTGGTGTCCGGCTCAAAGCCAGTGTAGCTCAGTCTGGTCTCCCACCTTGATTTCGGGAACTGGCCTGAAAAAATCCTTTCTAGCACTCAGATTGGCACTGTCACTCTGGGGTCTACCATCCATGGACCCCCTTTCCATCACAGTCTTCTACTTGTCTGATTCTCCTTCCAGAAGGACCAGGCCCTCGATTCTTCTGCATCCAGAACAGGGCCTGGTGTATGGTTATTTGTTAGAAAAAATAGCAGGCTGCGTTTAAACCCCAGGAAGACTATCACAGTGCAGTTTGGCATTGCCCCAGAATCGCCCTGGATCCACAAATCAGTCACACAAGTGTTAATGCATGTGGACACTTTATTAAAAACAAGTGGCTGGAGAATGAGGTGACTGGTGGATGTAGAGGGGGCTCAGGGAGCATCACTTGCTGTAGACCTTGGGACCTGGCTCTGGCAGATCCAGCACGTCTGCTTCCAGTTCAGATCCAGCTAACGAATCCTCATCTTCTCTCCCTGCTGACTGCCCATCGAGGCCTCCATCTGAAACAAAGGGGCAGCCAGGTTGGTCAAGGCCAGCTCGGGAATTCTCTTCCACAGTCCTTTTACCATTGGTCCAGAAAGGTGCTGGCCTCTAGAAAGAAGATTCATCTCCCAAATACAGGGCCCTGCCAAGGGCCAGTGGTTCTGGGGTTTGGCCTTGGAAGCCAGCAGTACAGGAGTGAAGTTAATGTGCACTGGACAAAGTCTTGCCTGTTTCCTGTTCCTCTCCCACCCCTCCTCACCAGAGGACCATAGACTGGGGAGAAGGGAGTCTCCCTCCTTTAGGCCCCACTAGCCTGGGCACAGACTTCTAGCCTGGTGCCAGGCAAGCTTAGGGCACCCACCAGGTTCTATCTCTCACTTCCCCACCTGCTAGATGCTTCCCAAGGATATCAAGCTTATCTTTACATCGTGTGTGTGTGTGTGTGTGTGTGTGTGTGTGTGTGTGTACATGCTCACATGCAGTACTAAGGATCAAACTCGGGACCTTGTGCTTGCTAGGCAGGTGATTCATCATTACATTCTTGATCCCTTTATTATGGTTCAGTTTCTCTCCTTATTACTTCTGCAACAGGAAGTGTGGGAGCAAATGGTTTTTCTTGGGCTGGAAATGCCTGTCCAAGATTTCTATCCAGCCCTTGAAGGGCTCGGAGGCTGAAGTCCAGAACCCGGACCTCTCTTCTATACTAGCGCTCCTGGCTAGGAGCTCAGCATGCAGCCTTCCGCCTTCCTCTCCTTGGGCTCTCTTGCTTCCTTTTCAGGCCCCATCAGAACAGCAGGATCTTGGAGAAAAGAGCCCTACATGGCAGTCATGGCTGGGGCTGGGCCACCAGCATCCAGTAACCCACAGCCCCAGGCACAAGGCCCAGCAGTAGGTGCACACAGCCAGTCAGCAGCTGCTATGATTGATAACTAGCACCACATTCCCCCAACCTCTGCACCCCGCAGTCTTGGGCTTCCCTACCTGCTAGCCCCTTCAGGGACTGGATGTACTTGGACCAAAAGGAGCAGTCAGCTTGTTTCAGGCCCTGGCGAATGGGAAGCAGGGTGCTGAACTCCTGGTAGCTCTCTCCTCCAACCCCTGGGACAAAGTCAGGCCAAAGGGCTGCAAACTCGGGTGCCTTCCGTGAAAACTCGTGTGGATAATTGGGGTTTCTGGGGGAAGGAGCAGAAAGAAATATCCCTAAGAAAAACGCATCTCTCCTTTATCACTTGAGATCCCTTCCTGTCTGCACTAGGTCTCTGAGGGCCAAGTCACTTGCTTTGATTGGTAGGTGTGAACCACAGGGACAGCCCCCAAGTGGAACCCTAAGTAGCCCCAAAGGCACCGAGGCCTAAAGGTCCCTGGCCCACTCCTCTCAGGCCTTCTGTGCAAAGGACAGAGGTGAGCTTGTGATCCAGTACTGTCACTCAGGTCAGGACCAGGCGCTGCCCTCCGGTCTTTCTGAGTGCTCAGGAGGCCATAATGTCCCTTTGGGCCTGGTGCCCTCCACTCTGGATACCATCACCAGTCTCTGGGATGCTGTGGTTTTCACAAAGCCCAGGCAGCAGGATGGGCCCTGAGCAAAGGAACCTCTGTGCCACCCACAGGTCAACTTCCCACGAAGAGGACGTTCCATCCCCTCAGACATGGCCCAGCAGGCCCACGCCTCTCCACCCACAGTGCCCTCTACTCAAGGCCCAGTGTAAATGTCACTTCTCAGGGAAATACTTCCTAAAACCCTGATTAGAAGAAAGGTCTTTCTCATTTCAGCTCTACAGGAAATGACCAAAGCTTCATTTGTCCTGCTTTGACCTATGCTTGGCTTTCATCTTCAGGTGTCAGAACTCTGCAGCCTTGCTGGACCAGGACATTTTTCTTTTTACTTGTTTCCTTCCCTAGGGGCCTATCACAGTCCTGAGAATGAACACACATCCAGCAAGATGGCAAAAGGAAACAGAGTCTAAAGGATGGAAGGCCCAGGCCTGGGCAGTGAGGGAGTGCAGTGCCTTGCAGTCCTGGCCAGGACTGGAGGAGATGGGAAGAAGGGGAGCGAGGTGGGTCCCAATGGCCTGTGGCTCACACCCCAGCAGGGGTTCAGCCTCCTGGGGAGGCTGGCTGTCCTCCCAGGGGTGCCCACCCCCACCCCACCACCCTATAGGAATGATGGTCAGTCCCCAAGACAGCTCTGGTTGTCATGACAGGGATGGGCGGGTACGACTGACATCTATGGGTAGGGCCAGGCATTCCATGTCACCTCCTACACACAGGACACGCACAGACAAAAACACCCATGGAGAGCTGTGAAATGTGGCCAGATCATAGAGGGACATGACAAGAAGCTGCCATCAGGAAGATGAATCTATATGAAGGTGTCTTCGGCTAGCAAGGAAGTGAGACAGGGAGGGTGATGGCCCGTGCTCCCAGCAGCTAGGGAGGAAGGCAGACTGTGGTGGCCTTTGCTTTCAGATGGGAGGGCCGGGGAGGGGAGCACATGACAGAGTTCAGGACAGGTCATCTACTCACCCAGATCTGATGAAATTGGACAAGAATTGCATGATTTGCAGTGACAGGCTTTTCTCCTCCAGGGAAAACTGCCCCTCATAGGCAGGGTAGAAAGGAAGCCCAAAAGCATACTGCACATCTGCCAGCAACTCCAGGCTGGGGGCACAAAGGGCAAGAAGAGGCAAAAGTTAGGGATCAGTAACCCACTGGAGCAACTAAATGAGACCCGAACCCATACTGTTCCCCAAACAAAGACTCCCCTGCTTTGCAGGATTTTTAAGATTGCTATGGAGTAGGGCTGGCCAGGTAGCTCAGCAGACTAAGCACCCACTTAGGCAAGTGCAGGGACCGGGATGCCATCCCCCATACCACATGCAGCACCAGCCCCACCCCCAGGCGCCCTGAGCCAGCCACCGAGACCAGGCATGATGGCACACATCTGTAATCCCAACACTGGGGAGGCTGAAAATAGGAGATCACTATGACTCTGAGGTGCACAGTGAGAGCCTGTACCAAATACATTAAAAGGAAAAACAAGATTCCCATGAAGTGCTCAGTAGGCTGAGACGCAGCTTGGCCTTGAGCCTGAAAGCCAGCGGGGCGGTTTACGGCCTAGATGCTGCCTACACTGACCACACTGAGCAGCAGCGGCCGCGAGCAATTTCCCCACAGGACGTCCTTTGACATACCCACCCATGGACTCACACTGCCTGCTCACCTATCCTTTGATGCAATAATAAAAGGAACTCAGGTTTGGAGCTCCTCCTCTGCATCAACCTTTTCCCTATGTAGCCAGCAGCACTGCAAGCCCTGAGAGTTGGTGTTTATCCACGTAATCCACCCTGGCATCTGGTGCGTGGTAGTCGTTAATAAACACACAGTGGGATTGAGCTGAATCTCTAGTAAGCAGCAGGCGGGGAGAATGGCAACTTGGGAGACTTCCAGGGGCTTGAGTGTGCAGAGCCTGTGGCGACAACTGAGGAGCCAGCGTACTCTGGGCCCTGGAGGGACACTGAGAGTGGGCACTGCACCAGGAGAGTGAGGGTGGAAGCACTGGGAGACACTTTATTATTGTGTAGCAAAAAATGTGGCTTTTTCCCAGAGAGAGCTCTGGGCTCACCTTGCTCCTGGGAGACAAGTCCTGCCTGACAGGAGAGCCTTTGTGGAAGGCAGAGGAAGGGCATATGGGATTGTAAAGGAGCTGCTGCCATGCCTGAAGGTTCTAAAGCGGGGGACTGGCCAGGCTAAAACCACCACACACAGAGTTTAGCCCAGGAAATGCTGTGAGCACCAAACCCGTACACCGCTCAGCACCTTTACACTTCTGTGCGAAGGGAAGACTGCGTCCACAGCCACAGGGAGCAGACATGAAGCCTCATGCTGCAGGCCCCTGGGCACGGCACCATGCCCTCTTCCTCTGGCTGACACTGTCCCTACAGTAATCACTGCTATGAGCACTGCTTCTTGCCATGAATTGTAGGAGCCTTTTAAGTGAGTTATTGGGCCTGAGAGTGGCTTGGGCAAGTGCTGAGATAGCAGCTTGTGTCACAAGCGGGAGGGATCCTGGGGAGAAACACTGCTCCACAACTAAGCAGGCAGCCTTCACTTATTCAAGGATTATCTCTCAGTTTCACAAGTGAGGAACATGAAGGCCAAGGACATCTCTTGAATTGTCTCAGAAACACATAGTAAATGGAACAGAAGAGCTAGCTCAAAGCTACTTGCAGGAAGCACAACAGGGACAGTGCTAGGCCCCAGGCAAGCAGCACTCCTGCATCTTGGTGCCCTCCTCTTTGGGCTGGGTGACACCCGGTGAGTCACCTGTCCCCCGGATACCCCCCTCCCTGACTATGGAATGGGTGTGTGAACACCTGCTCACATGGCCGTAGTGATGGTCGGGATGTGCTGGTGTGGGCAGCAGGACCTTCCAGGGAAGGAGTGGGGCTTGGGTCCTTCTCCTCAGGACCCCACTTTCCCAAGTGGCCAGCAGCCTTTGAGGTAAGGGCAGAGCTCTAACGTGGCACACATGGTTCTCATCATGCTGAGAGCAGGCACATGAGCCCGGCACATGTTTTCAGGTAGAGCACAAGGAGGTAGCTCCTGGATAAAGACCACCTGCGTGACTCATTCCCTTACGTGCGGTGCATGGTCAGCATCCAGCCGTCCCAGGCTGTGATGGGAGGATCGCCCAGGACACTGGGATAAGGAGCCCTCCACACAGGGCTCTCATGAAGCCCTCTCTAGTGCAGGGCTTTGAAGGGGAACATCAAGTGCAGAAGGTGGAGACCAGGGTGATGACTCAAGTACTTGGGCCTGATGCCAAGACCTTACTTGGTGCACTTCTGAGGGCTCAAGCCCACTGTCTTATGTCTGACAATGAATGTCGTAGCCAGGTGTGCTTGTGACTGTAGCAGAGTGTAGGATGGAGGTTGGCTGAGCCAGGCAGTGGGACTGGGCTCTGCAGCATACTGACTCCATCACTGTAGGTGAGTCTTTTGATTTGTCTTTGACTCAGTCTTCCTCCTGCTAGAGCACTAGAACCATATACCTCCCAGAGGATAGCCAATGACTCCCAACAACACAGTGTCACACTAGAGACCCAGAAAGCCAGTACTCAAACCCGAGTCCCCCAGGACCAAATCTGGGCTGTATGCCATGGGCAGGGCACTAAGAACAGACATATTTAGACCCCAAAGGGAAAATAAAGGTGAGACTAAAATGTCAGGCAGGTAGAAGTTCTAGTTACAAGAGCAAGGACTCATAAAGACCAGCACTGAGTACTTTACAGATGTAAAGTCACGATGTTACCCTCATGATGACAAGTGACAGACATTGTTACCTCTAACAGTCATGCAGGAAATGGGCTCAAAGTGGTCATTTTCTTGCTGAGGCCCAAGAACCATTCCACGGGGCAGCCAGGAGGCCCAGGGTCCACAGGGACCACATTCTGCTCTCTTCCTTGCTGTCTGCCTGCCTTTCTGCCCAGTACCACTTGTCCCCATCCCTCAAATTGGGAGGAAGTTGAAGCAGCCCACTTCCTGAGAAGTGGGACTGTGGCTGAACCGTGTGTGGTTGCTGCATTAGGAAGTGACCACAGCTCAGGGACTCCAAATAGCACATGTGGCATCTCACACTGCCGAGGTCTACAGAGCACCGCACTGGGCTAAAGTCACGCTCCAGCAGGCTGCGTTCCTCCCAAAGGCTCCGGGGGGCCAATCCTTGACCTGTGTATTTAGGTGTGTGCTTGAAGTCCAGGACACACGTCTTTGCGTTCTCACTACTACAGTTGGAGGGTGAGTCCCACGTCCCCAGAGGGCGGGTCCTCATCCACATCCTTGTAACACACTTTTGCCTCCTCCTTCTGCTTTGAAGGCCTCAGGGATTAGGCTGGGCCTACCAGGGTCATTGGTCCCATCTGCCGATCCCTTTGTCACATCAGATAAGGGATCCATGGGTATCGAGGTTGAGAAAGCAGACACTCCAAGAAGCCATATTTTTCCCACCATGGTGGCCCTGTCTACTGTTCCCTCTAAAGACAGTGGTCTTCTGCAGCCCTGCAGGGCCGAGGAAGCGGAGGCAAACTCTGGAAACCATGTCTTCATGCAGAACCTAGCTCAGGCAGGCCACATCTATGAACCTGGACAAGAGGAAGCTTCATGGGCCTCAGCGTCTCATCTGCGAACTCATGACACCGTCAGCTGTGGGACTTCCAGGCCTCTGGCCCCATTTCTGACTCATTTGCCCTCATTTCTTTCTTTTCCCCAGGGGCACCTATAGGGTTAGGAATGCAGATTTAGTCCAGGGACACTGCAGGCTTTGTGCCACCTGACGTTATGTGAAAATGTGTCTACGTGGATCGTAGTTTTTGAGATCACTTGGGAGTGAGTCCAGGGCCTTTGCAATAGGCTTTATTCTTAGAACTTTTCAGTTTTTGTTTTGAGACAGGGTCTCGCTAAGTTACTAAGTTGCCCTGACTTGAAATCCGTGCTGCTCCTGCCTGAGCCTCCAGCAGTGCTGGGACTGCAGGTGTGCACCATCACACTTGGCTCCCATTCCTCTCTCTTGGGAGATGCTCCATACACTACCACACTGTCCGGAAAGGCCAGTGATGAACGAGTGCTGGGCCAGCAGTGACTCTCAACAGAGAGGGAGGTCTTACTTGCAGCGTTTGCCAACTTCCAGATCGCAAATACTTTCATCATAGCCACATTCAGACTGTCAAAGTGACATCACTGAACAAGGGGGAGGGGAAGAGGCACACACAACTGGCTGCTGGGAGCAGGGGCCAATCAGCTCCGCCCACTGCAGCCTTGACCTCTGGAAGGCCAGTGGGCGGGTTCTTGGGGGAAGGTCTTGCATTCCAGCCCATCCTGCATGCTTGAGCGAGAGTTTGGTGGGTATGAGAATGTCCGGCCCGTTTTCCCTACAGGGCAGATCTGTATCAGGATGCTGGAGTTATTTTGAGCAGTGTAAAGTTGACATCTGGAGGAGGGTCTCAGAGCGGGAGCCTGGGAGGACGGGACTTGGGGACTGGAGGGCCACACCTTGGCATGTCTGGGCCCTGGGTGGGAGCCCCGAGATCCTCTGGAGGAAGACATGGACCTCTGTAATGAACACGAGCAGAGACATGGGAGGACACTTCAGAGCCTGAGCGAGTAAAAGGCGCACACTCCTGAGCCCAGCAGCGGTGCTCGCAGACAGGCCACCGCACACTGGCTCCTTTGAGTGGGACGTGCTTACTCAAGCCTGTGGGCCCTGGAGAAGTAAGTGCTCGGGCTGGGCACACTCGGCTGCAAGCTGATGCTTGCTGCCTCCGCTATAAGCACCGCTATAAGCACCGCGGTTTTTGTCTTGTCTGCTCAGAGTTGCTCACGGTAAGCTCAGACTACATTAGATCTTTCCGTCAGCACAGGAAAGGCAAGTAGAGCCTCAGAGCGCTCCCTGCTTTCCTGGGTGAGTCGGCCCCAGCCTTGCTGCCACTGTGGGTTCTCTGGGCCTTGGCATTTCTATCAGTAAAATGGGTGTGACCATCCCTGCTCACTGATACCTGGTAGGAGGAAATTCTTTCCAAAATGAGAAGCGGCCATCCAGCACAGAGGCAATGCCAGAATGTTAAAGTTACATTTAGTCAGAGTGTGATGAGAACTGACCAGCCA